TAGTGACTTATTCTTACCACTGGGTTACGAAATATGACCCAAAGTTGGTCTGATGTGCATGACGTTTGTCTGGAGAATTACCTACGAGTTATTTATTCTCCATTATTCCGCTAGTGAAGAGTGCAGCAAGCGAAGTTAATTGCTTCATTTAACTATAGACAGTGTATCAGGTTTGTTGAGGAACGCACTATATGTATGTAATTCCTTTGTCCGGGTTTTATTAAAACTTATCTTTACGCTACTGAAGGTTTATAATACTACGCGGTTGTCTGGTTTCAACATAGAACTATTCACAGGAGTGCAGTTGCCAGACTCCGTGTAGCACACAAAGCCCGGCCGACAACTGCTACCTTGTCGTGGTGGTCGGGCTTGAATACCGCGTGTGAGATGGAGTCGGCTGCTGCATCTGGCCACATTCGGAAGCTGTTCCAGCTCATCCGAGCCACCGGCAGCAAAAACCAAGGTGTCAGCGAGACGGTCTGTGAGGCAGATGGCGCGCCAATTACCAGTTTGAAAAGACGCCTGGAACTCTGGACAGAGCACTTCGAGAAACAGTTTAGCTGGCCACCAGCTTTAGTATCTGCTGTCACTAGCTCCAGTGCTCCTTGGTCAGTTAGGACCGACCCATCAACCGAAGTGGAGGTTCGTAAGGAACTCCAAGTGTTAAAACGCCATAAGGCGCCCGGCCCAGACAATTTACCCCCGGCTCTTTTTAAAGATGGTGGCGAGACTCTCACAATGGCTCTAACTGGGTTGTTCAGGAAGGTATAGGAAACTGAGAGTGTACCATCAATGTGGGACGAAGCCATTATCGTCCCCATCGTTAAAAAGGGTCGACGTAATTCGTGTGACAATCATAGGGGTATCAGTCTGCTACCAGTCGCGTCTAAATTATTGGCTGCTGTCTTGCTTTGCAGGCTGTGCAAAATACGTGAGGGATTGATTCGCGAAGAGCAGGCTGGGTTTCGTTCAGGTCTTGGATCCATTGATCATGTGTTCACCCTTCGTCAGTTGTTAGAACACCGCCACACGTATTGCAGGCCAACAGTCGTTGTGTTTCTTGATATTAGGGCTGCCTTCGATTCGTTGGATAGAACTGTGCTCTGCAACTGTCTGTTAGAGAGGGGTGTACCCGAGCAGTTTGTTAACATCTTGAAAGTCCTATACAGGAATGCCTCAGGTAGAGTGAGGGCATACAACCAACTATTATCACTGTTCCCAACCAACAGTGGGGTTAGGCAGGGTTGCCCGATCTCTCCATTTCTCCTTAACTTTGTAATCGATGACATTCTGGAGTCAGCTGTGAAGGATGTGCGTGAAGGTGGTGTAGATCTGCTAACTGGAGATAGACTTTTCGATATCGTCTTACTGTGTGATAGCATGCAGGCTGCCCAAATCGCACTTAATCAGTTGGCGATTAGTGTCTGTAAGTATGGTATGTGCTTTGCGCCGTCTAAATGCAAAGTACTGTTACAAGATGGGCAGGAGCCTGTACCTGCACTCACTCTTGCAGGTGAACCGCTTGAAGTTGTTGATAAGTTTGTGTATCTGGGTGGTTGTGTGAGTGCTGGCGGAGGGGTGACGGATGAGATTTCCAACCGTATCATGAAGGCTAGGGTAGCACACATCAACTTGAGCCACCTCTGGCGCCGTCGCGACGTTAGCCTGGCTGTCAAAGGTCGGGTATACAATGCTTCGGTGCGTGCTGTCTTGCTCTACGCCTGTGAAACCTGGCCTCTTCAAGCTGAGGATGTGCGGCGACTCTGCGTGTTCGATCATCGCTGTCTCCGCAGGATTGCTTGCGTTCGATGGCATCATCGCGTGAGTAATTCTGAGGTTCGGCGGCGTGTGTTTGAACACAATGGAGATCACCATTCATTGAGTGTGGTCATCTGGAAACACTGGCTCCGGTGGCTTGGACATGTGCTGCGAATGTCATCCCAGAGGCTTACGCACAGGTCTCTGTTCGCTAGCCCTGGGACGGGATGGAAAAGTCGGACAGTTGGTCAGTCCATGACGTGGCGTCGTGGGATGAAGGATATTTGTGCTTGATTAGTATCGGTTGGTGCATCACGACTCCCTGGTTAGGGTCCGCGAGATAGCTCGAATCGATGGCTCGAAACGTTATCGGTTATGGCCAAGAATTGTAATCAATGGTGAACGTGCTGCAATTTCAATTTTTTCTTCCCTTCCTGATGATAGTTGCCGAATACTGTTTGAACTTGTTAAGTATGACTGTTTTCTTCCAGATGAAGTTCTTTATCCGTTCTCTAATTATATTTTTACTTTTTATCTATGTTGTTCTGTTATTATTGTGTGGCCCATCTTCTTGGTGCTAAATTGTACAAAGTTTTTCTGCGTTTAAATAAATAAAAATAAGGCACACAAAGCAAGAGAAGAGAGTAAAGACAGTTTCAAAAGAGAAATAATAAGGACAAGTGTCAGAGAAAAAGAATACTACTGTGGAAAAACCATAGAGCTTTATCGAATGTAATGAGTCATGGAGAGTGAATCCATCTGCACCATAGAGAATAATTTTGAGCCGATATCACCGATTGTCCCCAGCCACTGGTCTTTACCATCCCGAGGACCCCAACCAGGAAGCCTTCACCTCCTTATGTGGCTTAAATTAACTGCTATGGATTTCACTAATTGATGCCGTATTTTGTTTTGACCACTACTAGCTCTTTTCCAACCTGATCCTATGTCAGCTAAGATTGCCCGTCGAGGAAGGCGATGACTAGGCATGCGTAATTGTCCTGACCGTCTCAATCGATGTAACTTCACAACCTCTTCGGTCGACTTCCTCTCCGTAGCTAGCACTTAACCGACGCCTAACCTCAGTATTGCTTACCCTACTATACCACTTCACACGGGAGATAGAACGCAGACACCAATGATCAAAGACAGCTAGCCTTTTCATGTCTTCCACTCTCAACGGCCAGATCTCACAGCCATAAAGGAGGACGGAGCAGACTGCTGAGCAGTACATCCGCCCTTTGGTCGATAGTCGGATATCACGTCTACGCCAGACACGGCGTAAACTGGCATATGCGAACCTAGCCCTCTGTATCCGTGCTGAGATTTCGTCAAAGGTCAAACCTTTGGGGTTGATGCAACTTCTTAAATAAGTGAAGTGGTCAACACGCCCCTTATTTCTAAGCTAGGCGCCAATGTAGTCCAATCCTGTAACATCATCTTACATTTGACGGGAGTGAATTGCATGCCAAACATTCGCAGATTGCAGCTCAAGGTGTTCAGAAGACTGTATTTTGTCAGCGTCTTCACCCAGAAGTACTATATCATCTGTATATTATAAGTTGACCAGATTATTCCCTGGTAACAAGCCAATCCCTGAGTTTCTGAAGTGAGTTAGGGTTAAGTTCATTAGTACATCTATGATGAAATTGAATAGAAATGGGGATAGTGGGCATCCCTGACGGACACCACTAGTTGTCACCACTTCAGATGACAACTCGCCGTAAGCCCTCATCTGACTGCATGAGTTCGATTAGAGTACCCAGATGATCAGGTTACAAAAACAACCACCAATTAAAATTTAAGGTTTTAAGCCGACTAGGCTTGATCCAATTAAATGGATCTTAAGGAGATCGGGACTATGGTTATCTAAGGAATCGAACTCAAGACTGTCAGGCTTGAAATTCAAGCTTTACTATTCACTTAAAGTTCAGTTACATCAGTTCCATATTAGTTTGTCTATTAGATATATCACACAGTGAAACAGTATTATTATTATCCATTAAATAATACTGTTTCACTGTGTGATATATCTAATAAACAAACTAATATGGAATTACGTACTACCACAGTGCCCACGTTTTACACATTTATCAGTTACATCAGGTTTCATGCAGTTCATTTTTGTCCACTTTATCATATGACAAATGCATACTTTTAAGAAACCTACCTCATTTCAAGTTTATGAATTTCGGGAAAGCACACAAGTCTAAGGGGTAGAAATAAATTGACACCATGAAAGACAAACGTGTTTCTGCGTAACAGGGATGAAAATTGGTGAAGTTTCACAGAGTATGAAAAATGGAGTTTTTAAATTATCTTCACCATTTCTCAGTTTCTAACTATTGATCCTAGCGAGGCAGTGTATACCGTACCCGAGTCAATTCAACTGTCTGATACTTCGTTAGTTGGTGCCATATTTTACTCGGACCAATTATTCTGAACGTAATCCTGCTTTAAGTAACATTACCAATTGTTGAAGGCAGTGGCTCAGCATGTGTAATAGTGTTGTAGCTACCTCAATGAATGGAGTCTCATAATCTCATCGATCAGCTTACTTTTGTTACTCACATTCGATGTTGAACCTCAGTATTGTGTATTATGTTGCCCCATATAGCAAGTAACTAAAAAAACTTGAACAGATATCTCTGCGTTTCTTTTCAACAGCCATAGCAGCCGTAAAGCGGTTCAGAACAAACTGCTGCTAAGTACTGCGGTTATGGATATCATGAAATGTAAATGACTAATCGCATAGCGGAGAATACATACTTTTTGAGTGTTACTATTTGGGAATGCCTATAATGAAACACAACACGGCCAATTTTCAGGTCTCAACATGTAGTTCTCATTCAATACATTTGGTCTAAGTTGACTGATAAAATTTCTGGATATGGCTATAGGGATATACTTCCCCTTCGTTAATGTTACGTTTCTAAAGAATCTCTTTTGACATATATATATATATATATATATATATATATATATATATATGATGTATAGTGTATAGACCGAACTATTTGTTTGACGTAAATTCATCGATCGTAGGTGTTGATCCAAAAAACGGTCTCTAGAAGTTGATATTTTTTGTATTAGCTCTTGTATTCAGCCGCAAAGTATTAGAAATGTTCACTTCGAATTGTAGCCATTAGGACCATATATATATAAACAGTGTGGGTCTCCCACATATAGATAAACAATGTGAACTATCACTCGGTAGACTAAACACTTCGTTTTTAAAGGTTGGCTCATTGTGATCTTATCTTCGCACTGATTATTGTGGGGATATTACCATTTCCTATGCGATAGGTTTTCCCCACCACTCAATAATTAAGCATACACTTAACTTCTGAGTTGCACCTACTTTCTATTCTTTGGTGGATACCTTTGTCATTGATTATTCACAATGATATATTAATTTTTTTGTAATAACCTAGGTGCATTTGAAGATGCCATCGTTGGAAAATAATTATCCAGGAGCAGCTAGTCTTATTCAGGATATTGGAAGTTCGTTATGATTGCAGCTGCTAAAACAATCTTTTCTAGAGAAAATGGCAATCAGTCTCCGTGGTGGCCGAATGTTTATTGGATATCTGAGAATAATCGATCAGTTCGGTAAGGCTTCACATAAAATTGACATTTTTCAGGAAATGTTGTTCTTCATGAAGCTGTGGAACGTATTCATGTGGAAAAAAAATTCTGCGATGTTCCCCAAGGCATTCTACTAATTAGGGGTGAAAATATTATTATTATTGGAGAACTGGTAAGATAATAGTGTTCATGTACCATTTTCTCGACAACATTCAAATATTTCTATTTGTTTCTCATCTCACGGTGAAAACTATTCAGAGTTTGTAAAATTTACAGCACCTAATGGGAGAATCCAGCACAGACTATACCTAATTAAAACATCTACGTTTTCCACTGATTTTTGAAAAAAAATCGGGAACTAGTGTTTGCTTAAAGGCTTATTTTTTGAATGAAATAAATCTCATCATACTTTAAATCTTAAAAAAAAACGACTGGTGTTATTGATAAGGAAAGAGGTGATAGTTCAAGGAGGAGACGTTTTTGGACAAATTCATTTACATACTTGTACAATTTAACTTTTGCATAGCTTTTTGAGAGGTATGTAGCAGTTAGTTGGCCGTAATGATAAAAAAATCAAAAGGACACTTGTAAGTAGGGAAGACTAACCAAAGTATAAAATAAAGTGTATTGAAATTAACAATTTTACATCAATGAATTATTCTGGTAACTTTGGGGAGGGGGGTGGCTTTTTGAGGTGTAATTTAACTGGTCTATAAACCCACTCAACTTGCGCAGTATCCGACACCTACCTGAATGGGATGTCGAAATCGGTTCTCCAACTGTAACTGAAATTGCAAGTGCTGTCTGCAATCTGCAATGAGGCAAAGCAATGCTACCTGCTGGAATAACTCCTGAGGTGTTTAAGGTCAGTGATGATGAACTGTTGTCTGGATTATCAAATATATCAGGTAGTGTCCGGCAATCAGAGGTAGTTAAGTTAGACTGGCGTAATTCATTGATTATCACACCTTATAAGAAGGAAGACAAATCTTCTCGAGATGGTTATAAGAGGATTAACTTGACTTATATAGTACCTGAAGTTTCAGGTTCAGTGATCATGCACAGACTTAGTGGCACTCAGGAGAAGCAAACACGAGAAAACCAGGTAGCCAGGAAGTGTTTTGACTATAGCCTCACCCTCCAACAGATTTTGGAACATAAACATATCTACTGGTGTTCAATGCTTGCCATATTTCATGACCTGAAGGTGGAATTACAATCCATCGACTGAGAGGCAATGTTTGGCCGTGAAGAGAGTACCAAGAAAGTATGTTGCACTAATCAAGGCGCTCTATTTGAACTCATACCATCGTGTAAGGGCTTATGGGGATTCACCGTTTGCAGTGATGACAACCAGTGGTTCTATCAGAGATACCCATTTTTGTTTAATTTTTTCGTAGATGTATTAATGTAATTGACCCTGACTGACTTGAGCAACTTAGGGATTAACTTGTTACTAGAGAAAAATATCGTTGGCTTAGAGTATGGGAATGACATTGCCTACCTAAGTGAAGACGCTGGCCAAGTGTTGGGTCTTCTGAATAGTTCTAGCACGATTCTTGCGATTCACCCCTGCCATATGTAAGATGATTCTGCAAGACTGGTCTCCACGGGCTCCCAGTTTAAAGATGGTCTGTGAAGTGGCACAGCGTTTTGACCGCTTCACTTTTTCGGGAAGTTGCATCTGTCCTAACAGACTGATTGCTGAAAAAATCTGGGTTGGGATGCAAAAGGCTTTTGTGGCATTCAGTAGTGTACGTCATCTGTGGCGTAGTCGTGATATCTGGCTATCGATGGAAGGACGGGTGTATTGCACAGCATTTTTCTTTGAGACATGGACACTGGAAACAGAAGATATGAAAAACCTAACTGATTTCGACCACAGATGTTTGCGTTCTATCTCTTGTGTTAAGCGGTATAATATAGTGAGTGATATTGAGGTGAGATGTAATTTTTGGTGAGGAGGGCGAATCAATCGATGAGACTTTGAAGCTACATCAATTCAGATGGCTAAGGCATGTGTTACTCGTGCCTTCGCCGAACGATGCTAGGTGGCATAGAATTAGGTTAGATAAGCGTTAGCGGTGGTGAAACCGAAACATGACATCAATCGTCGAAGTCTTTAACTGTTAGTTCGAGCTACAACGTGGTGTAGACTGCTTGGTTGAGGTCCTCAGGATACTTAGAACCAGTGACTTGAGACTGTTGGTGATTTAGTTCAAGACTGTTCTCACTGCTTAGATGCATTCACTCTCTGTAATCTCCCAGATATATTAAGTTTTCATAATTTTCCACGTTACTTTTCTTTCTCTCGTACATTTCTGCTCATTGTAGTTCCTTTGAATTGTTTTTCTTTTCTCTACCTTCGTGTGCTATATGGTGTGACTACCTGAAGTGTTGTACTTTTGACCAAAGTTCTGCGTAGAAACTCATTTAGTTAGAATTATTCTGATAATCAGATGTTATCCGTAAAAACAGAACAAAATATAGGTGGATATCATATAGGCAGTGTCAAATGAAAAAAGAAAGTAAATAATTACCAAAGCGGTCGTTAAAACTAAGGAAACACAGAGAAGAACAGAACCCAAAGTCAAGACAAAAAGTAGTTACTCCATGCAAATTTTATGTTCAGTATTGAGATTCCTTTCTGAACTGCTGGCTGCATTTGGCTTATTGGGATGTATTTTTAAGAATGTCATCGTCCCTATGTAAGTTGATAAATACTGGTGTAGGTTACATGCGAAACGTCCCAGACTATGCTGATGTAAAGAAAAAAAGATCAATGGGACTCGAAGGTAATGTTTCTTAGGACAAACGCATTGTAGGTACCTAGATTTGGTAAACCTTGTCTTTAAAACCTTATTTTCACATCATTTAGAAATTGATTGAATATCACCACATTCGATAGCTTGTTGGATTCTGCACAGTATTGCAACGCTCTCCTCACAGTTCTATTCTCCGATTGCTTTTTTTTCCAGTGTCTAAAACATATTATTACTTTTCTGAATTCGTTTACTGATATGCTACTTATATCTGATTGTAAGTAGCGCTCACTACACTCGCCCCCTTATCATAAAGTCTCTCCTGTAACCGCCTAGACCGACGCACAGAGGTTCCGTCTCTCTGTTTTTTGCATTTCTCGTCTTGACATTTTTATCCATCTTCGCAGCAGACTGGCGTTTACTCTTTTTTCTCGATCTCCTCTCTTTATTGTGTACACTGGATCACGTCTCGATGTGACTATAAATGGTCCGTCACACATTGGGGAAGCCTATCTGATCCTGGTCCACCTCGGGTAATATACTTTCGTTCTCTACATTTCGCCTACTTCAAACGGCTTCCAAGGTTTGATTTGTTTCTTGCTAGCTTTCTCGATATCTGCCTTTTGCTTCTTTTGTATATTCTGAATAGCTTGTTTCCGCTCACTTGTTCATCTCTTACTGTCCCAATGTTGTTGTTGTGGTCAAGCGTGGTTTCCTCTCATGCATCAGCTGGATGGGCGACTCTTTTGTTGTCCCCTGTATTATGTCGCGATGTGCCAGTAATACCAATGGTAGGTCAGTTTCCCAGTCGTTTCTCTTCGCAGCTGGCCACTCCTTGAGTGCCACCAGACGAGTATTGAACTACTCACTCTCAAGACGTGGACCTTGGTCCGTCAATATCACTTTTAGTACATCGTGATCCGTCACAACATATGGAATTAGAGCCTTGGTTACGGTCTTTGCGCACTGATCTGGAGTTGCCATGGCATTTATCCACCGCGTGGCGTGTTTCATCATCACCAAAATATATTGACTTCCACTAGATCTTTGAGGGAAAGGACCCATTATGTCCACTGACCACAGGTCACGGATTGATGTTATGGGAATCGTTTGTAGCAGTGGTCGAACGCACTGATCACCATTCATCAATTGGCACTGCGTGCTTACGAGTACGTAGTTTTCAATATATCTTCTCATATTTGACCAGTACACACTTTGGCTCACTAGGTCGTATGTCCATGCAGCGCCTCTATAGGCTAGTTGGTGGCATTCTTGAATAACCTCACTACGAAGGCTCTTTGGCATCACCGTAACCCAGCTTGTCTTGCCAAGCTAGGACTCCGGAAGCGTTTAGTTGGAGACTATGTTTGTGATGCAGTAGCGTCTTTAGCTCAGTATTCTCTGCTGACGTCTCGATTTCTTTCCCTTCACTTATCATGACTGTCTTAGAAGTAAGATCCGAATTCTGGTGGCGAAGAAGTTGTGACGGATCTTGCTCCAAAGCGTTCACTGCGTATGGTACTTCTGCTAGTTCGACCTCATTATCTGATCTTAGCAAGTTTTCAGCTATTGCATCTTCTTATCCTGGAATATGTCCAGTCGCGAAATCATACTCTTGTAGGCGTAACATCCATCGTGACAACTTCCCTCGTTGACCCCGTGTTGTTTTCAATCACTGAAGACGTTTGTGGTCAGACTCAATGTGGTATCGGTGGCCGATCAGGTACAGTCTCCATTTTTCTGGTGCTAATACAATGGCTAAACACTCCTCTCCCACCGTAGAATACTTTTGCTCTGCAAGTGCCAACACACGACTAGCATATTTGTCTTAAAACAGTATCTATACCATTATCATTTGCGTCTGTCAAAACTGTAAACTGCTTCCTAGGCACTGGCAATTTCAATATCATCTGTTCACCATCTAACAGCTCTTTAATTGCTACGCCTCTTCCGTCCACGTGAATCCCGCGTTACTCAGCAACCAATATAGCGGCCTTACTATTTCGTTGAAGTTTTCGAAAAACGAGCTGTAGAATGCTGCTCTTCCCAACAACTGTCTCAGCTTTCGTTTTGAATATGGTACCTCACTGGTTATGACAGTCAGGATTTTCTCAGCCAAAAATCTGGCTGAATAGGCAGGTAGCGAAGACAGGATTTAAGGTGAACATAGAGAAAACGGAGGTGATGGAGTAACCAACCAATCACCATCAACGGGAGAGATTTGACAGAGGTTACCTCCTTTACTTATCTAACCAGGAAGTATCTTTCCAACCACAAGCAGAACGGATGGAGATGTCAAAGCAGGCCAGATTCGGAAAGGCAAGTACGCCTTCATCAATCAGAAACCAATTTGGAAATATTCTGCACTCCACAGCATGAGGAACAAGATTTGGATTTTCAACACAAATCGGAAGTCAGTCAGTTTTTCTGTACGGTTTAGAAACTTGGCCAGTGTGTCATTAAGAGGATTTCCAACAGGTTGCAGACTTTCATCAACAGCTGCCTTCACTGGGTCCATACCGAAGATCAAATGGCCGATCATAAAGAATTAGTTACTAAAGACTGTTGGAGCAAACCAACCCCGAGCCTATTGCCCAACAAATATGTAGGAGAAAATGGAGATGGATCGGGCATACACTGAGGAGGCCGTTGTGTGACATCGCACTCCAGGCCATCGCTATAATGGAATCCTAATGGGGAGCGACAAGTGGGTTGTCCTAGGGTGACATGAGGGAGATGAGAGCTAGTCAACAATCGTGAAGTCTGCTAAAGGTGACTGTACAGTACATATGAAAATAGAGATGTGCTGTTGAAGCTCTATGTTCCACTCAGAACCTAGGGTATTAGTAATAGTAGTAATATGTTATATATATATATCTTGATTGTTTCTTTTACCTATTTTTTCTACTTACCCTATTTTAGAATCCAGAAGTGGACATTGATGAGAAGTTGCAGAGGGTTTCAGAAGAAGAGATATACAAACTGCAACAAGAACAGACAGCTGCCCGCAAGGAGTTGGCCAGGAAACGTGCTGAGTTGTTTGCTTTGCGTGGATTAGGCTTCCAAGAATTCGGAGACATAATGTTTGATGATGCATAACTTTAGCAATATCTTCACAATTATTGATGCACATATCAATATATAATACTTGAAACAATTGTTTGATCATCCACTCATGTACATACATAATCAAACGTGTTGTTAGAGCTGAACAAACAGAGATATTTAGTTCGACAAATTGGACAGTTTTTCATACGCTGTAAAGTCATATGCATAACTCCTGTCCTTCTAAAACTGCAGTAAACACAATAAATGTTGAAAGTCACTGTGAATTGTTTCCAGTAACATTGATATAAGAACAGAATTTCTGAACAGAGTTGGAGTGTGATTTCTTTGTAGAATAATCTAATTTGATGAAACTCGGTAATACAGTATCATTTGCTGGTGTCGTTTCGGGCACAATTAAGTGCCAGTAGGTACTTTAAGACACGCACCAAAGTCCAACCCTGTATATACACCCACTTATAATTTGTCTGCTTTCGTTTATTGGAAATAATGACTTCCAAGTCAGTAATTTGCCTACTCGTAATTCCTATTCCAAGCGCTAAATTTGATCCTGATCAGCCATGATTCAGCGATCACCCAATCTTTTAAAACATTTTGGAATACAACGCTTACAATATGCCATTGTGTTATTGAATGCATTTCGACTGCTGAGTTTTCCTCTAAGCTAATCATCTTTATGTGGTCAGTCGTCCTACGCTTTGGTATGTTCCGACATCCTAATTGACGCTGCTCTATGGAATTGGCCGATCGGTGATTGCAAGTATAGTTAAATAATTTAGAAAACAGAAAGATTGAAGGAAGAAATATTTACTTTTCAATTAGATCCTCATCTCTGGCTCTACTCTAATATATATAGCATTTTTATTACAATACACAACAGTTTACCAAACAAGTGGCGATATGTTTGTTAACAATAATAAAGAGTGTCAAAATGTCAATGGGTTGATAATTAACGAAGAAAATCAATACACATTTAGAAAGGTAGAAATGGATAGAATAAGTTAATTTTACAAGGATAACAGGTAACTAAAGATGAAGTGGTCAAAATAAGTATAAATAAAATAATTTGGACAATTATTTATTTTTATTTTGGTTACAGCTTGATGACACACCGTATTTTCAGTACAAGTATGGTATTTTCAGCATGGATATCGGTAGCCCAAATATTGCAGGCCGACCATAGATATCGGGTGTGCGTCGGCGGGGGATCGAGCCTCGGACCATGTGCATGGTCGGCGAGAGTCCTAACCACTGTGTTTAGGGGGAGGGGGCGACGTAGTCCTGTTTATGCATTCTTCTAGAGATGGCCACGGTAAGGAAAGTGGCTGTACAAATTGCTTCTGAACACAGGCTTGGCTTCTTAAAGTGGATTCCGATTGCTTCAGCTGTCTGTAGAAGACGAACTCGTAGAGCAAAATTAAGATTAGTCGGAATGCGGTAAATAATTTTAAATGCAGTATTAACATCAACCTAGATTATGTGGACTACCAAAAGTGCATAAGATCGGTTTGCCGCTTCGACCAGTGTTGGACATATGTAATTCCCCATATCACGAAACAGCAAAATGGCTAGTGAAGCTCCTAAAGCCTCTGCATAATGAATTGGTAAAACATAGCGTAAACGGCAGTTTTGAATTTGTTGAAAAACAAGATATCTTAATGTGAGGGACAAGTTTATGATATCTTTTGATGTATCCTCCTTGTTCACCAATGTACTGTTAATGGAGACAGTGGATTTTATATGTGAGGAGATTACTACACGAAACATAGACATCGGGATTTCTGTATCCACCTTGAAGGAACTTATTTTAAGATGTACAATGAATGTTCATTTCTTATTCAATAAGGAATATTACAGACAAATTGATGGTGTAGCTATGGGTTCCCCATTAGGTCCAATCCTAGCTGATGTTTTTCTCGCTAAATTAGAGAATGGACCACCCTGGGCGATGGTAACACCACCGAGCCAAGCCTATGTGTTCAGAAGAAATTTGTACAGCCACTTTCCTTACCGTGGCCATCTCTAGAAGAATGCATAAACAGGACTACGTCGCCCCCTCCTCCTAAACCTTTAAAAATTATAATTGTCCAAATTATTTTATTTATACTTATTTTGACCACTTCATCTTTAGTTACCTGTTATCCTTGTAAAATTAACTTATTCTATCCATTTCTACCTTTCTAAATGTGTATTGATTTTCTTCGTTAATTATCAACCCATTGACATTTTGACACTCTTTATTATTGTTGACAAACATATCGCCACTTGTTTGGTAAACTGTTGTGTATTGTAATAAAAATGCTATATATATTAGAGTAGAGCCAGAGATGAGGATCTAATTGAAAAGTAAATATTTCTTCCTTCAATCTTTCTGTTTTCTGAATGTCTAAATGGGGATTTTTTCTATATTTAAATTATTAAAACAAGATTTTGAGCGAACAATTGTTTTCGATAACTTCTTCTTCAGGCTCTTAAATTATTAGGTCTAATCGAAGCTCGTCCCTGAGTCAGATAGCAGGATTGAACCTCACAATAATTCATAGTTTTTTGAAAATTCTACGTAGGATTTCAGATGTCACTTCCTTATATTACTACACTGGATGCCTTTAATTTCCTATGTCATGGTCTGCAGTTTTATGGTGAGAACTGGCTGCTAGCCAAATCGGTAGATAGTAGTTTACGTCTTCAATATTGGTCGTGAGAAGAATATGAACAAAGACTGATTCAACAACCAACGACAGCAGACTTTGCGTAGGCGGATACAGTTAGCATATAGGTTATCTGACATTCAAGAAACAGTCACAAAGAGATGAAAGATTAACTTGCAGTGATAAACAACCAATCAGAAGACTGTTTTTCTGCTAACAATTATCTTTAATAATGTACATGAAAATCTATAAATGTGTTGATATCCTTAATAAACGATCTGTTGTCTGGCCCTTGTCTTCTGTTGTTACAGTTTCACTACTGTTTTCTTTCATATTGTTAGCTTTGTAATAAATTTTTCGGGATAATTATTCAGGAAGTCCTGCTTCTTCTGTATGTCTCATTTCATTATTTAGAGATGCGATACTTAGGATTTTCGCTTGGTTGCTGAACGAACAACCTGACTCCACAGGTAACGGACGAGATAACCCTAAGGTCTAAGTATGCAGTAGCGTATGATGGCATGTTACAAACACTGGCGCATAACATTCCACCCTCTTTTTTTAGTATAGTATAATTAATTCTGTTTGTTCATTTTTTGACTCAAACGTGAACTTCATTCCTTCTACGGCTGAGTCCTTGTGTGTAAAGAAATTAGAAATATGCTCTCTTTTAACACGGTGAGTGTCACCTGCATATTCCTACGATATCTTTGGCTCAAGACTACGTGATTTTAAAAGCAATATTTTCCCAACTATGCAGAAATATAACTTGTATGAATGGGATACACCTGGTGTTTGCATAAATTGAAAACGGTAGACGTGGAATACACCTGAATTCCTAGAATAATCTTTTTATTGCGTAGCTTTGTCTTTTGAGTTCGGTGACAGTATGAATATATTTCAGGCTACAAAGGTTTTAAAAGTGAATGTACGTTGACGAGTGTTTTATGCACTTATTGTTTTTGAAACGGCAACTTGTCTTTTCATCCCCTGGTTGGGCGGAGAGAGTTTTGGAAGTTGCATATACTTTACTAACTTTGCTGTAGTTATCAGTTAAGAAATGTGTTATATGAGATTAGATGATACAATACATGCAGAGTCAGGTAAAGTTTTTGTTTACCAGATATATATCACACGTCCCGAATATAATTTATATTTTATGACCACATCAGTTATAATAACAATTTCGAATGTTGAATTTTGTAGTTCTCTTTATTCCTTTTCATTTGTAGTAGAATTTTCCTGATCAGTAGTGAAATCATGAGTAATTCATAAGTCTAAGGGTTCTAATCCGGACAGAAAATGTTAAAGATGGCAAAAAATGAGCAGAAAAATGTTGCCTTAAAGAAGAAGAAGAAGTGCAGAGAGTAGTTAGAAAGTTACACTCTTAGAAATGAAATCGAACATTTAAAATAAAAGTTAATGGAAACATTTACTAGCAAGGATTATGACCTTATAATAGAATCAATTAACAGCGCAGCATTCAAAATATCCAATAAGTTATTCGAAGGGGAATCTCCAACTGAAACTAATGAGATCGGCCATATGAAATCGTCGACAATCGATTGATCAGGGTGGGTAACCAATCTCTCAAAACACAGGAATACCAATATCCCTGACAGCGGCAAATATATTTATGGATAGGTGAGGAAACTAAGCGACTGAAACGTCCAGCCCGACCCCACCAAAGTATGTCGATGTAACATTCACAATTCTCAAACTATAGGATATAAGTAGGTTTATCGAACAAATCAACTCAAAATTAAGGGTAATTTAAATCACTCATGAATGGGAAATTTCAATATTAGATCGCATCATAAAGAGGAAAGATGGGGAGTTACACACTTAAGCTATCAGAAAACTACATATTTAATTCAATATTTTGATTTTGGTTGGTCCCACCTTATGTCAGTAAAAAAATGAATTGGTGAAATGCTTAATTATTAAGACGAAAAAACGAAGTAGTACCAAAAACATTTGAGACAAGACGTACAAGGGAAGTTTTGAAACTTAATCACTACCGTGATAAAACGATCAGGATGTAGGAAACTACAGAAGTAAAATTAATAATAACAATAATAAAGACAAAAAGATGACAACACTAAGTAATTTAAAACACTAGTAGTACTTTCATACAAGGAAGGAACCTTACGCGGAATTTTTAGCAGAGCAGGAATAAAAGTGACATCCAAAACCATAAACTCATTCAGAACCTAATTAAAATCAGTTAAAGGATCCTGGAAAACCCATAAAACAATCTAGTTTATCTAATATCCCGCAATGATTATCAAGACAAAGTAGTTGGCCGGAGTCAATCACCCTAGCTGGGCACAAAAACCTAGCAAAATCATGATTGGTTTACCCTAATAAGATAAGAAATCTAGCTCAGCTTTAGCAATACATGCAGTTACACACAACCATACAACTGGATGACAGTCTAGCATAACAGGGTAGAGAGATTGGTAACGGAAGTCTTACTTATTGAACCAACTGAAAATACGTGCAATAGGAATGACTCAACATCTATCTCGGACATCCGGAAAATTTTACTGCCTCTGCCACGAATGAAAATGAATGAAGAGAACCCAGGATTCGAAGGTGTTTAGGTACACTTGGTATGATCATGAGTAACATATTGTGTTCAGAACATTAGTTAGTAAATAATGTATCACTGTGTTATATATCTAGTAAACAAATTATGAAATTACATACTGTGGTAGTGTGACACAGACAATGTGTGCCAACGGAATATGATTCTCCTATTTCAATTCGGCATTAGCAACTGAATACAGTATATCTATTTGAACATTCTGTTTGTGCTAGAGTCGGAATATTATTCCCACAGTTCAGTACTGCGTTAGCAACAGAATACTATGTATATTCGAACATTCTATTTCATGTCGTTTCATGTAAACGCTCAGTGATGTATACATGACTTATCAGTAACCTTGATCTCTTAGTATATCAACTTTGAAAAAGAAGTATTCAGTTCACAAAGTGTATATTGGAAATTTTACTTCTTACAATCATTGAAAATAGCTAGAAAAAAAGTGAGTTGAGGTTCACCACATAATTTTTCACAAGGTCCGAGAAATCGATAGATATTAAGCTGTGAGGGAAAACTCTATTTGTATGACTCATGTATCACATATTAACTCCAGTGGGGTTTGCATCCAATTGTCGGAGGTTCGGAAGAGCTAAGAGTACTTTACGTCGATAATTAGGGTCGTGTCTTGTACGATCTGAGTTCAGGAAATAAATGGGATTTCGTTCCATGTAAACTGTGTGAAGTTTTTTCAAAACGTTTAGTTTCTCTATTTGTCCCCAGTCAGATATTTTGTTGTCGTTGAACCAAAATTCTTCTAAATTTTGTAGATGTGACATGTTTTGTATTTCTGATATGAAATTGCACGCTAGGTCTAGAATTTGTAGTTTTGATAATGTTTCTAGTCCTTCGATTTCCGTTATTCCGTTCTCACTAAGATACAACTGTTCCAGATTGACAAGTCTGGCCAATCCACATATTTTAGTGACTCTGTTACCCTGAGAAAGTAAAAAGAAAAGTTATCACAGAAACGTTAGGATTTTCAAAGTTATAGTTGTAATAGATCTTAAAATAATATTGATGCTGCAACAAACACAGCACTTAGTATCTTGTTGCTTTCTCCATCCGCACTTCGCTTTCTAACCTGCTTCTTTTAGGTCTAACGGAAAATCAGCCCATTATAAACCAAAAGGGGGGGATCCACTTTAAGCCCGGTTAGCACAATTCATTTTTCAAAGCATACATTCTGGTTTCAAAATGAAACTAATTTTTTCTGTATTTCTGTGTATGAAAGTCGAAATTGTCTGTACGATAAATTCTTGTTTACATAAATTTTAAAAGAGTTTATAGCTTTTATGACTTCAGCGCACATGCCTTTACGCATGATCTTAATGTGTTCATATATGACTGCGGATGCACATAGTAAAACTAACTGTTCAATTTCGCAAATTCTGAATAAATCTATGTCAATACATTTTACCTTGGGTATCAATGATCTATTCAACTCCCGTTTGACACCTATACTTCATCAGACTACACCTTACCACCGCTTTAACACTAATATATATATATATATATATCATATAGTTCTGAAACGTATGTTGAACCACACAAAAAAATATTAAAGTACTTACCTGAACACTAAGCAGTGTTAAATTGGTTAATGTATCCAAGTTTTCCAGTGCTGATATCTTGTTTTTACCACAATAGAGTTGGGTTAGCTTTGTCAGCTCTTCTAGATTTTCCAGTTTTCGTATTTTGTTTGAACCAAGTTCCAGCATTTCTAAATTCCGCATACTGCTTAGATTCTCTACTTTTGATATACGATTATTTACCAAATACAGCTTTGTCACACAATGTAGATTATCTAGATTTTCAATACATTTAATACGATTGAAACTCAAATCCAGATTGACTAGGTTTGAAAGACATTCCAGATTTTCGATCTTGAAACAATTTGCAAACATATACATGTATATACGCATGCAGTTTATTATAGTTCAACTAATAAAACAACAAACTTCATACGTTAAACCGCTACGTAACACAGTCATTCTTATAGCCATCTGTTTATGAAAAACACCACTCAGTAAATGTGTTATTTGATTTTTGTAATTATATGATTTCTATGTCATTGTAAACCCTTCAAGTATTCGTCGTGTAATCTGGAAGTCACTAAAACAAAAACTTACCATTACCAAGTAACGATAAGGATAACCTGTGACTTCTCAACGCCTTAAAGGAGGTTCAAAGTGGGTGGTTTTAAGAATACATGTCTCAAGACCTTAGAAACTACCTTCAATACAAAAAATCCTGTCATAAAGAGAATTTCTTTGATAAAAACACGGCGATACAGTATTATATACTGATGAAGCTCTTACATAACTTTTGAATTTCATCTATATAATTCCATTATTCCTTATCTTTGGATTTTATTGGCAGTAACAATTTCAATATTTCTGGTATTCACGTTGTGTCATTCGTACTGCACGTGTTAGGCGTAGATTCAATAAACAAAGACCCAGTAATCAACTATTCCAACCGCTTACCTTTTTTTTCAGAACTGTGACGCTATCCCATCCTACACTTCTGGAAAGCAAGATAGGTAAACGGTTGGAATGGTTGATTACTGGGTCTTTGTTTATTGAATCTACGCCTAACACGTGCAGTACGAATGACACAACGTGAATACCAGAAATATTGAAATTGTTACTGCCAATAAAATCCAAAGATAAGAAATAATGGAATTATATAGATGAAATTCAAAAGTTATGTAAGTGCTTCAATATGATTATAAACAATAAGTTGCGCTAAAAACGTTATTAGTATATAATACTGTATCACTTTCGTTTTATCCAATAGTCGTTCTGTGATGGAATTATTGTATACCGTAGTGCCCATGTTCGCTTCTTATAGCGAAGAGAGTTGTCACGACTGTCAAATCTAGAGTGCACATGAGCTTGGTGATTTGCTGTTTGGGATTGCATTCATACATGAAATGTTGCTGCTTGTGACGTATATGATTAAAGACACTTTATTTATGGTGACTTATAAATCATAATCGAACATGAGTATCGGGGAATGAGCAACATGGGCATAAAAATGTAGCTGTTATGTAAAAAGACTTAAAAGAATCACCAGAAGAGCAAAATTAACTATACACAATTGTTCGAATCCTGCTACTGTTCTGGGATAGCTACCCAAATTCTCATACCATCAACTGAGTTCCCTTAGCGCGACCATTTTTCATTCCGCTTATCTACATTATATGGCTGATTCTAATAAATTGAAACAGTTATGATGTTAATTAATTTAATCTGCTATACACGTGAAAACCCTATAGAAATGGATGCTCCGTAACTACATATAGTATGACTGAACTAAAGGTAACTAGTTTCACTTGATATTACACAGTGATGCAGTATTATAGACTCGATGATTTAAATACAGTTGGATAAGAGTAAGTGAAAATAGTTGTAACCGACAAACTATAATCACACTGCAATACTGACTGGTACAATTTAGTCTGTAACAAACAAAGGACTAGACGCATGACACCAGTTACTATCTAGTGTCTGATCAAAGAAACCGTAACACTTCTGGTTGGAGATTTGACAAATGTTTACATAATGCACTAAAGACCTATGCTTATTTCCAGAAACCGATTTTTTACTTCATCCAGTAGAAATAGCAAAATGTGTACATTTTTGTCACTGTAGCAGTGACGTGCAATTTAGTGAAATATGGAGAACAACGCTGTAAATGGAAGTCTAGTCAAAATGTGTGGATTCTTTTTTTATGATCTCACCACAAATGAAGTATACCGTCTTGGATATTGAGATACTGAAATTATCAGATCTAATAGACCATATGAGTTTGACAAGCGCTTCTAAAAATACACCATATATAGACAATAATTCTATGAGTAACTAATAAGGCTTTTCCTCTTGATGGCTACAGGTGTGGATGACTATCATTGAAATAGTCACGCAAATTTTTAAATCTCATTAACACAGACTCATGTGTGTTGAACTAATCCACTCGCTTCCAATCACGATGTGCGGAAGGGATACTTTGAAAGTATAATGGGTAAAAGTTCTTAACAAAACCCAATAACGATTCTGAGTTGCGGAAGTAGAATATGAGGAAGGAAACCATACTAGACAACAAAAACTAGGAAATTAAGTCCGCTGAAAATATGTGTTGATAGGGTTGTAATCAGAACTACGGCTTAGAGAACCGTTTTATTGAAATCCAATACCAAACAATTATGCATTATTATTCTGTTAGGAATTGATATAAATCCTCCTACTTTTAATAAAAGCTAAAAATACTGTCCGAAGGAATGTATAGAGCGAGAAGACCTGACTAAAGTCTACTGCTCGTGCCTAAGCTCAGTTACGCAGGACAGATTTTTCGTGTGCCCGGCTAAGAGGCATTCTTATCGTACGAAGATTAACGATCCTACCCAGTTGCCCAACTTGAAATAGGTGAAGTGTGACTCGAATCCGTTACCCATAAGCTGAGTACTTAAGCCTATGAGCCACATCTACTAGGTGGGGTATACTGATTGTACTGTTGGGATTAAACCTTTATAAACAATTTGGAATTTCATTCCACAGCTCCTCTAGTTGTTTGTTGGGTAGTGGATCTGTAAATCCTTTTTCACTTAATATCAATTACTGTGCTTGTACTAACAGCATGTATTATCTTACCAAAAACAAAATAATTCCCACAAACGTCAAATTTTAATTTATAGAAAACCAGTTCAGGCTAGATGTAGGAAGACTACAATACACTTTGAGATTAACGTGACTGCTTAATTTGTCATATTTCACAAAAGTTCAAAACAAAATCAGCTCAGTATCAGTTTGAAAGTTGCTTTGACTTACGTTTAAACACATTTAAGTGAGTTCACGAATCTATACAAATATATCGGTTTGCGCTGCAATTTTCTCCCCTTCCATTATTCTGACGCTTAATAGGGTACCTTATGAACCCGAATTATTTACATATGCTAGAGAAACAATCAGGTTAACATATAAATGCAATACTGAGGCCAGAGTTTGCTGTAGTTTGTCAGGTTGCCGTTATATTGAGTTTGTTTGTGGCTCCAGTGTATGTGTATTACGTATAGGCTAAAGGTTAATGGTCATTTCAACTAGTCAGGTACATTAACAATCAACCGAACATGAATATATTACTTTGTAACAATCCCCAACTAAAAGATGTTGGTCAGTCACAACAACGTTAATCCACTTGTCAGTGGTCTTCGTATGTGCTATGAAAGGCTGATAAAACTACAGCCTAGACTCACTAAATGGGTACCATCTACCATAATCCCCAGTTATACACTGGATGCCACGGATTACTCAAAATGCCTTAAGTATTTTCAAGTTAAATCAACATTGTAGATTTCTGTACAAATGCTCTTATTCACATCTTCCAGATGCTCCTGCAAACTAGATTATTAAAAGAAAGGCTAAACAGTGAGAGTTCAACGCGGAGGCAGTAATGGAACTCACCTTTGTAATTTGATTATCATATAAATCTAGCTCCTCAAGTGTTTGACAGACAGGTTCAAGATTTTCCAGCTTTTTCAAAAGATTATTCCGAAGACACAGGCGACGGACATTTGGGAAACGCTCTAATTTGCTGATGCATTTAATTCGGCAATGTTCCAAATCAATTTCTTCACTTTCCATGTTTGATAGATCGAGTTCATCAATTTCAACACCAGGTACAGACTGTTCCTCATCATTATTACTTGGAGGTTTGGGTTGGTTATGTTCACTCATCGAAACAGTTCGCAAATGATTCGCAGGGATACTAAATTCACAAAATGTCACACACCTCTCCTTGGGTGGTAACGTCTAAATTATAAGTAGCGCGTTGGGAGGTAGTCACCTGTCGTAATTTGCTGCAATTATATAGACATGTATCGAATGACTTATCCGGCATGTTAGTCGAAATTTCCCTCGGCTAATCTTTTCTGTCAATGATTTTTATTAAAATTATGTTATATGTTTTCTGGACTGATAGGAATTCTCATTTCCTGACATGTCATGTTGGTGTCCGCGTCTTGCAATCCGACTGCAGTGCACTGATAGTATATTGGTTGCAATGATTAGGGTTTCAGGTGGACTTTGTCAAAATATCGCTATAATGAGCCGGATAGGTCATTTAGAGGGTAATGGGTGACTCTAAACCATAGCAGCGCAAACCAAAGCTACCTAGTGAATGGACAAATGACCTTGAGCAACCAATCAGGTGACTTCGTGTAATCGAGACGTATTTTTGGATGCTCTACACCTTTCGCTCTGCAAATTCGCTCTAGATCTCGTTTTTGATTACTGTTTGGAGAACAGACTTACAGGAAAGTCGAAAAATTGTCAATATGGAGGTGTCATGCATATACAAAGATACACTAGGTGCATTGATGGTTTTGTTTACTGGTGCAGTAGTGCCGAACCAGAAAATCATTTCGAGAAGGTATGTCGTTCTTCTTTAATTTACAGATTCCTTAGGTAATTTTTCTCAAAGTCTAAATTACCTTTAACGAAAATTTTAATGATGTGTCATTTCTTGGTACTGAAAAGACCAGTAACAGCAACAGTTTTTTTTCTTCTTGTTCCCCAGTGGAACATAGGACTTTAAGCTAGTGGCTTGAAGTTTCTGTAGCAGTGTTTATTTTACAGGGTGGGTTGCTAGCCTCATGCCCAACCTTTCCTCTGCACCAGCATTATTTCTGGCTTAGAGAGGTAAAAGAGTGAGTCGGCCGGGGATCGAACCTCGGACAATATGCTTGGTCGGCGAGCGTCCTAACCGCTGTGCCACCGACGCCAGCAACAGCGTATGAAACAGAAAATTAGGAAGTATCTGCAGTGCAGTGGTGCCAGTTCTTCAGAGACCTATCATCGTGGAAAATGAACAGGCTACCTCAATTACTTAGCAGAGTTGGCGTCATTGTTCACGTGGATGAGACGGTGTTGATCAAAAGAAAATATAATCGAGGGAGATTAAGTGCAAATAAGCAGTGGGTTTTGGGTATATAAGACTCCGTTTTTATAGAGCCTTCTCATCGGTCAGAGTTGTTTTTGTCAAGGTCATTTGTCCGTTCGCCAGGTAGTTTCGGTTTGGGCTGTCATAGTGTAGAGATACCCGGTAATGTCATCTACGCAAATAGTTTACTTCATGTAGAAATTTTACCATTTAGTGACTTCACGCCTCAGGATATCAATGCAGCCTGTTTTCGTGTATAGAACAGTACTATTCGACAAAAGAATGCTATGAGTATATGGGAATCACCTGTAAATTCTAACAGAACCTTCTGTGGGAACAGAAGTTATCGTGTGGATGTGTCTTTCACCTTATGTGTCTTTGGACAGAAGTTATCGTAAGTTGAAAGATTATCTTTAAGTGGACTTAGTATATATTTACACTGATTGGCGCAGTGCAATATGGGTTATGTGGATTCAGTGTATAAGAGATACCCCTATTAATATTGTGCCATGGTCTGCTTAGCTGACTGCTAGGCTAACAAGTGTTGGTGGTTCTCATGATTGCTGCAAATGCAGTGCAGTGAAGAAGGCAATTACTCGTTTAAGTCTCCTCACTGTTTCACTTAGTGCATTAATTCAGTGTATAGTATCATTATACACATGGATTGTGTTGATTATGAGAACTGAATTTAGTAATCTATATTATTATTAATCCACCATCTGGTATACCATTCCCACTAACATTGCTGATATACGCAACATAAGAATAATGAACTACGTGTGATGATTGGGCTAGTGTGCCTAGATTACCGATACAATTCGTGTTCCTATACGGCCTATGATTGCTAGGTTGTGTTTCTTTATTTCAATAAAAACACATGTTCAACTTCTATTTCCTTATTAGCACCAATGAATTTCCACTGCTTTAAGCTTTTTTGTAAAAGTTATGTTTGTAAAATTTCAGCGAAATTGAAATGATTAGTTCCAACGTTTCTTTCGGCAATCTGGTCCGAACTTCTTCAGGGAAATTAATCGAAGTTAACATAACAGAGGTTTATTTATAAACAGGAACATCTCTTGTTTTTGAGACTTTGTCCAATGATGAGTCATGAAACAGGCATCAACATGTATAATGAACAAAACTGCATGTTCATATATAAAAGGACATCTCTCGTTTTTAATTGTTTGTCCTGTCATATGAATAATGAAACAGGTATCAACAGATATAATAAACAAAAACTGTATGAACTGTTGTCAAAATTTGACCTAAGACTTTCAAAATTAGTCTACTTTTGTAGACTAATCATTTCAATTTCGCTGAGATTTTACAAATATAATTTTTAAAAATATCTACTTCTCACTTGGCGCCCAATTATTTTGCAACTATCCGGTCAAATCTTGATCACAGTTCATATGAATCTTTAATATTTTTTTGGCAGCAACACTAAGTAGTGTTCTTCAGTCGCCTGCTGATCTGCGGAGGCCCAAACGACAAGCTCTTGCACCCCATTACTTCCATTAGGATGTCAGCTCACCTGTTGCTGAGGAACCAGATATATTGAACGTTCGACGCGCATCCTGTCAAAAGGGGTCAAAGAACACTACCAGGGTGGCTGCAGAAAGAAGGTAGTGGGTGCATAAGGTGTGCAATAATTGAACATCTCGTCACTATTATATGTAAACAAATTCCTCCCACAAGATAGCCTACAAAGTGAAGAACAACCTGCCAAAGACAATACGTTTTCGTCTTCCTTGTATTGCAGAAGCTCTGGCAATTCAGTAAAAAGAACCGGAGCTGTGCACACAAAAGAAAATTTTTCAGCCACTTCCACTGCCGTGGTAACGACTCTGTTGATTTGATCTAACTTTTAATTGTTTGCTTGTTTTTTCGAACTACTTAAAACTCCTGTATTCTTTTAAAACTCCTACGTAATTCCGTATTTTATTTTGTTTCCATGTGCACCCAGAGCGCAATTCGTCTGAAAGCTTTCTGTATTACTAATTTTCAACCCTTAGCCACGACAACCCTAAAAAAGTATCTTTTCTTTGACAAATTTAATGTACAAGCACGTACAAAATGACTTTATATATATTTGCGATTGGACGACTGTGAAAATGAATTCACTGATAAAAGACTCTTCGTTGAACTAATGGTCTTCCCTCTATTAATGCCCGAAGGGGGGTTTCTCATGAATTAAAAAGTCAACCAGTTAAAGTTATAAGAAATATTAAAAATCTGTTAACCCAAGTGGAATTTCAACAGCGGATGCATTGCCAGAAAAAAATGGATGTTGGGTTGACCTGTAAACATAAAGGTCGAAGACGGCAAAAATCGGAAATGACGTGCATATGGTACCGGGTTATATGCGTAGATTTCCATTGAGGAGATGCATACAGAGGAGGTTATAGCCAACGAAGAAGAAGGTACGATCAGCTTTGTTATAAATTACAATCGTTAATTATCATTAATTAACACTTTTCAACAGTTCACATTGCTTAATTATCGTACAAGCAACCACAACGGGTTCTTATAAATGCTGGCTTGCAAAGCCTTCGCTAATGTCACCATTAAGGTCGAGTGCCAACCCAAACTTCGATCCATTTCTTGCCGATAGATATGGTCAACCAGTGAACAACATATATTTGGGGAAGGGGCACGCTCCCATGAAATGCAGTTATCTACCTCATCATCTTGATGGTTTACCCATTGGACTGCGAGAAAGCATCATCGGAAGTCACTGTAGTGCACCTTAACGTTAACCCACATTTTCTAGCGGAAATAGCAGGTATTGTAACTATATGTGCAAATTACGTAATTTAATTCCGCCAACTAACACCTCTGCAAGTTCTGCACTCACTCAGAGCACTCCGCCGACGTTTAGCAAGCACATCAGCGCCCAAGTGTGCGACACAAGGAATACTTATCATCCTTTTAGGTCCTCGCATTGCATGTAATGTGTGAGCACCAGCTGATGAAGCGATCCATACCTCTTAGTATGCTGCCTGTATTCTTTACCGCTTTCGTTTGATGCACCCAGGGTTAGACTCACTTTTTTCACATCAATTCCGAAAATCTTTCTCGAGTACATCACGTGTGCGGGCCTGAGGCATTTTTGTCATGAAACCATCAGTAGATCCAAAACATTTTTTGGGAAGTGAGATTTTAGATTTCGGTTTCTTCAAAACGCATCAGTGAAAAAGAACTGGAAATTCGAACTGCTTATATGCCACTCAAACAGACTTGGAAGCATCGGACGCATACAACATGATAGAATTCAGTTTCTGTATTACTGTTTCTCCATATTCTTTGATAACATGCCTGTCGCGAAGAAACCGAAATGAGTGCCGACAATCTTCTGGTGAATGAAGGAAAATACTGAGAAAATTCAGTTATATTGTTCTCCATTAAGTTCCAAATGGTAGGGAGGAACTCCGTCAACAAGACTGCGACGAATCTTCTATAGCCACCAAATTTGCTGAATGGAATGGAGGTGAATTGGACACACACTGAGAATGGGTAGCGGTACGTCCAACGTTTGCGTTACATTTTTGCGTGATTCGTTACATAAAATTTATCTTGTTGTAATCCTTGCACAAGTCCTCTACTACTTCCATACTTATAACTATTAACGGTGACTCTAAACTTTAGGAACCCAAAACAACCTTGAAAACGGATGACCTTGATAAATGACCTTGAGCAGGCAATCATCTTACTCGCAATGGATGCTGTACATCGTTTGCGGTGCAAATTCGCTCCAGAGTTTGTTTTTGATTACTGTTTAGAGAACGGGCTGATAGCTAGATCTAAAACTTGCCAGTGCGGAGGTGTTATGCATATACAAAGATACACGAAATCCATAGATGGTTATGTTTACCGTTGCAGGGGTACGAGAGGGTA